TGCCCCCTTGGATGTCCAAAACTATGCTGTCGAGCCCTCACGAAAGAGCATTGCCCTACCAGGCAACTTTTAGCTAACCTCAAAGAATTAGCAACTTCACTTAGTATGAAGGAGTGGCACAGAAACGGTGGGATTACCTCCTCTGAACAAGTCAGTCCTTCAAGTCGACAAGGGAGATAAGAAGATTCTTGGTAGAAGAGTGAAGTCCTGTTTTAGCTTCGCCCTTATCATGGGCGCAATCTCTACATGGTTGTGAGAAGGTAGTTACCGAGGGCGAGAACATGCGGTAGGAAAGTCTTCCGATGCTTCCAGAGCCAGAAAAGTTACCACTTGAACATTTTTCCTTCTACTATCACCATCGATTTAATTATTTCATGTGCACGGTTTTATGTTAGGTTTTATTGCACTGGAGGCTTGGCGGCATTTTTATCTCAAAATTGATAAACAGCTACATCATTAAAATGCTAAAATTATGGACATAGCGTGGAGGAGAGTATTTAAAAAGCCTGTAAAATGTCGGATTTTGGGGATGGGCCTCGTTCTAGATGCGCCAAGACAAAGTTCTGGGGATGGAGACAGTAATGATTTGACAGTGCCTCACTCAGCCAAGCATAACGCCAACTGTATTTCAAAATTTCATACCACTTCACTGTACAACTGACAGGACTAAAACAAAAGGGGGATGGTGAAAAGTGGTGCTGGATGGTCTCCATACACCATACGAATGCCTGATTTTCAGGCTCAGTACCGACCTGGTAACAACCCTGACTGTGGAGGTGGTGGAGGAGGTGGATGAGCAGAGGAGTTGGGAGTAAGGGACGAGAAAAGAGAATAGCACCATGGTGAGAGAATGCTTGGTAATGCGTTCGAAAAGGCCCGTCCATATATCTCTTGTGGAGAAATTGGTGGCGGCGGTGGGGGTGGCGGTGGAGGTGGCGGTGGCGGCGGCGGTATCGGAGCCTGAGACGGAGGTGGTGCCGAGGTTAAAAATCGTGCCTCTCCTCGCACTCTTGCCCCACACCTTCTCATGTGCTTCTCCAACGTTGAGGGGACAATGAACGGTGTTTGACAGTAGCGGCATCGATGACTGGGCCTTCCATCCTTTTCGTGCGTCTTCATGTGTCGCGTCAACTTGGAGGATTGGGCACATGCATAGCTACACAATTCACACTTATAGGGCTTTTCACCCGTGTGACTGCGTCGATGAACTGTTAGGTTGGAGCAGTTTTTAAACACCTTTCCACAAAACTCGCATGTATCGTTTCGCCGTTCACGTTCTCTCTCACGGCGGTAGGCATTAAATGTTTGCGAAGCAGGTGGCAGTGGAGGAGGTGGTGGTGTTATTGAACGTCTTTGCTTTTTCATTTCACTGGGCCCTTTTAGGAGATTGAAGCAACTGTAATTGAGGTAGGAGGGATAAAAGAAAGGAATGGGACAGGAGGTCTGTGGGATAGGCGAGGGGGTTTTCGCATCATCTATAAGTGAAGTTGAGCCGAGTTTGAGCTCCCCGTGAGGTTTGGACGCGGTGGGAGGAGGATGAGAGCACACTGATTCCTCAGTAGGTGAAGCGGAGGTAGAGGAAGGAGATTCATTACTACCCACACTGCAAGTATCTAGCAGATCTCGCACCGTGAGGAAGGAGCTTTTGCGTTGTGGCGGTTTCATGTGGCCGTGATGCCTAAACGGAGAGGAGAGGAATGGCAAGTCAGTGGCACTGACCACCCAGGACGACTCTCTATACGTGTTTGTGCTGGTAGTAGGATGAACTTACTTGGACCCCCAGTAGCCTCAGGGTCAACGCGCAAAAACACCGCTGACCCGCTCTCACCCACTTTTTCAAGCCCATGACCACCCACCCACCCACCTGCCCGCCCACCCATCCACTTGTAAATTACTTTTTTATGGCACTTGCCACTCGCAGCCTACGTGTGGTTGTTTATGCATGAACATACTTGGCCCACAAAAAAGTAGTTCCTCTCCATTTGCCAACTATTGCATGCTGTGTAGTGTTGCCCCTTAAAAGCAAGTCCGTCGTCTATCGACTGCCCAAGAGGGAGGCCTCTTGCCAAGCCCCAAGGTGAGAAAGGGCTGTGCCTGTCGCATTGCCTTGACATTGGACTATCGTTTGAGAGCATGGGAAACACAACAGCAGTTTGGAACCAGATTTTCGCCTAAACAAATCCCCATCTTGTTCCAACTCTCCTCTCCAATGCCATAAAAGAGGCGATACCACTTCTACATTTCCTATAGTTACCTGATTTAACCGTCACCATTTAGTTCACCTCACTGAGCAACGTGGTTGAATCACCGCTTCGAGTTATTTGAGGAAGGGAAAAAGGACGTTAGTAAATGGAGTAGGTGAAAGCACTTTCACCTTGAAAGAGTGTAGTACATAAACCCGACGGTAAGGCGATGCGACACTTGATAGGCCTCCTCACAGGTAGTTCATGAATGCCTCTTATGAACGTTGAGCAAAGTGGTTTTTTATGCCCTACCGGCACTTTCCGATGAAGTATCATGCTTTCAGTGATGTATTTGACTCGCACCCCCGCCTAACATGACAAATTTCTGGGGTAGTTAAAGTTAAGCCAAAATGTTGTTTGCTGCTGCTTCTCTTCAAGCGTGGTGTGGTCACGCGCTGAGCTATCACATGGCAGTAAAGTCACCTTCATCGTCTTCTCCCTACTTTGCCTTTTCCCACATTTTAATTAAAAATCGAACGAACCCGCCTTGGAGGCTATAGAGGAGGTTGTGACATTGTTTGTCTCACCCGGTTATTGTGTTCTTCTTGGCGAGAAGACGGCACGAAAGTTCAGGGGATGAGAATAAAACAAAACACTAGGCTCCCCTATAACTTTGTAAAATCTCTAACACAATTTTGTTTTTCATTTATTTATATGTTTGGAGGGGAAGTGGGGGGATGGGGAGGGAAGGAGGAGAGTGTGTGACACGAAAACAGGTGACTGAAACCTCTGGGCTGCTTAATTAACTCGGTATAGCACAAACATGCGACTCAAAATTGGACACTTTTACCTAATGACCGCAAAAACGCCTTTCACCGCATGTGTTTTCTCAGTGGCTGTTGCTATCGCGGTCGTTGTTAGCGTTGCACTACTGCGCAGTTAGCAACCTGCTCCAGGCCGGTAGCTAAAGTGAACCAAAAGAGAGAGAAAGAGCAGGAATGTGTGCCGGCCGGTGTGGCTGTGGTACCTTTGTGCGTGCCTTTACTTTCTTACGCCACGACCTCAAATTGCGGTCACCAGACGCGGTCATCTGTGACGCAGTTGAGCCGCCCACCGACTAATTGAAACATTCAATCAATAATCGGACTCGGACTAACGTCTCGGCCATCTGAGGTGACTTTCATAAATGGTGACCTCCACTCGAACGCATGTCTTACAGCAGATCACTAGCTTTCTAAGAGAGGAAATTAGAGTTTCGAAATGACGAGGAGCGTTAACTTGAAGCCTTGCCGAGTTCATAATGGGCATTTGCGAAGCGGTAATTTGGAGAGCAGATTTTGTGAGGAGTCATAAGCTGCAC